GGCGGAGGACACTGAATTAATTGTTCTGGCTACATGCTTTACATTTTTATGGATTAAAACCAGGAAGCTGTCCTGTTGTGGTTACACCATTTTATGCATTACTTCCTCTAATAGTTGCTTCCATAGAGCTTTTCAATGAAGAAATGTTAGACCCTGTGAATTGACTCAGTAACATTTGCAGGGGCATATACCACAGGGTAACAATGGGAGAATTGCAGGTTTATTGAAATTTTGCTAGATATAATATTTATGTGTTAGGAATACATAGGTATAACCAGACTCTGTAGTGGATGAGGCTTTATTGTTGATTTATGTTTATTTTAAGAATAACCTCCTTAAGCCTGCAGATTTTTTGTCAGTGGGAAGTAAATGAGAAAGTGCACAGCTATTTTTATTGAATTTTTCAAAGGTTTGATATAGAACTGGGAACTCCCTATTTCCATGCATAAAATCTTGTTTAAATACCATTAATACTAAAAAATAATCTATTTATGTAAATAATAACTTGCTAGAAATCATTAGTGGCTGTGTGATAGTTCCACATTCCTAATAAATCCCTTTCTATAATAAGTATATATATGTAGTATATTTAACAAAATCAGTTGCTTGACATTCCTGCAGAATCAGTGCTGTTATGAAATCATATCACCATTCAGTAATGAATTTTTAACAGTATATATTATATATGATAAACTTTTAACAGTACATATATTATTGGAAACGTTGCAATTAAAAAAGTCCTTTTCTGGTGGATTGAAATAAATATTAATATAATAACAAAAGAATGAGCAATTGTCTATACTTAAAAAGTAACTAATCCAAGATAGATAATTCTCGTATTGCCTTTTCTATCATCAACTGTTTCTTATCGCAGAAAGACTGTCAAGGGTGTAGCAGTTATATGATCTTGAGTGACATAGCAGCATACAGAGAAAGAGAAATGTAGATTTTCTCATTTGTTAAGATAACTGTAACTTCCACTTTTTTTTTCTTTTGTAGATTGACCGATAAATATGATAACAAAATTGCTAAATTCAGAGTGCTAAATTAATAAAGGAAGGCGGCTGGGTTTTCAGAGAAAGCTCATTTTAGTTGTTTAATGATATCTAGTGAATTGTCTTTAACTTTGTGTTGTTGTTTTAATCTGCTGGGTCTAGCTGATATGGGTTCTCCCTATCTTTATTGAAGCAAGTAGTACTATTTAGTAGTACTTCAAAAATTATTTAGAAGACTTACTTTAGGATGCATGAGAGCAGCACCTCTTCAAAACAGCCCTAACTCTATTTTTTTCTGAAAATCAGGTCAGCTGCAACTGCAAGTATGCATCAGATAATATAGCCCTTGTATAACAACTGTTGCCACCTCATTTTAACATGAAATGTTCACTTGAAACTGAAAGTTGGATTGACATAAACTTGCAAAATTGTATTTAAGTATTTTGAATTATTATTGAATTTATACTCTGTCTTTTCATCTAAGCATGATGTTCAAAGAATCTAACAAGAATAAAATAAAAATTTAAACTTGAAGCATAAGTAAAAGACACTTGCAAGTACATTAATAAAATAGACATCACCAAACACACTTGAATAGCCAAAGCAGCTTATGTTCCAAAACATTGCCTGTATCAAAACATTTTACCTGCAGACAAAAATCCCAAGTTTTTCTTAGTAAACTAGCGTGTGCAATGAATCTTTAGCATGATCAATTCCTTACTATTTTAAGAGTGGAAAAGTATTTCATACATGGCATTGTCATCGTTTGAGGATTGCAACATCAAGTAATAATTGGCATCTATGAATAAGTAAAAAATAGAGATTCTATATTGTTTGACGTTACTCATTTCATCACAGATAGCCTTCCTTGAAAACAATGCTGAAATGAAATAACAAGAATAACTGTTTAGTTCTACTTCCCAAACAGTTGGTAATTTTGAATTTGGACTATTCTACTTTAGACAAAAAAACTGCAGGTGGAAACAAACATGAATGAGCCCCCTTCAATTAATTAATTCTTTGCATGTAGCTAAAAATTGGCATTCCAAAGAAAAATCTAGGCTGTCTCTGAAGTGTGGTTTCTCAACATCCAGGCAACTGTGTTTTTGAATAGAGGCTCATTTAATCATGTTGGCTTCCAACTGCAGCTTTAAGTGGTGTGAACTACTATAGACACAGCATTGCCTGTTCAACTGCTGTTTGTGAGAACTAGACCGTGGATTTTTTCCTGATTAGAGAATGAAGGCACTGTGCAATAACAAAGTAATGTAGCATTATGTAATTTGAAAATCACAACTAATATCCCCAAATATCTAGGAAGCAATGAACAAACAGTTCTAATTTTCAAAAGAGGGTCTTTGAATCCAAAGCAGTTACACTGAATATTCATGTTAATGAAGGTGCTGTTAATACTGTTTTTCAGTTCCATATGAGATTTATCCAAAAAACACAACATGGTAAATTTTGTTGGCTGTAATCTCGGTAATAGAGACACTTGTTAAAATGGGTGGCTATAGAAATCAAATAAATAAATAATAGGTCTGATGCCTGAATTGCCTTAATTTAAAAGTTGTCACCTTTTTCACACCCAAGATGAAATGAGCAAAATCACCTGCTTCAGGAATAATTTGGTAGTGTCTGTCTAAAAAAAAATTCCACACCAGCAAAAGCAATACCAATGTCTTCTGGTTAAACTTTACAGAAAGATAATCTAAATGTAACATTAAACTACATCGTCCTATTCTTGGAAAAATGAATGAAAGTTGACAGGATCTTTCCCAGGATCTTTTCAG